GTGACTTATTTTGTTCCCATGTGTCATTTTTTGCTGGGCTGCATTTATTATGGTTTGTGACCTCAAAATCCAGAAGTGGCCCAGGCCTCAGCAGACCTGTGAGAGGACCTGATGAGCTCCCACATCAGTAAGATTCCATTGCCCCTGCAACTCTTCAGACCAGTTGTCACCATAGCTGTCAACTTTTCCCTTTTCCTGCGAGGAATCCTATTCAGAATAAAGGAATTTCTCTTAAAAAAGGGAAATGTTGACAGCTATGGTTGTCACAGGATAGGATACCAGTGACCCTGAAAGGAACATTCAGTTGATTCTGCCATTGGTCCTAGACCAGCCAGGATGCCAGTGTCATGATAGACCCAATGGCATCTAGTAATTTAGTTGACCCTGCTTTTGCTTCCAAGCATGTCATTCCAATCAAGACGAAGGCTTTGCTTGTAACCATTGGGCTAAAGGTCCCTATGACCCAAGCCATTGATACACACACCACACAAATGCTGAGAAATGCTTCTTCACTCACACATGCTATTTCAGCCTATATTGCCAGTGTTGAGCATGTTTCTTTTGGGAGGCAGGAATTGTAGTGACTGAATGCTGGGAAAGCTATCTGGCTCAGCTCCCACTGCTGTGTATTAATAACAGAAGGCAGCAGAGATGACTGTACCTGTCATCTCCATGTAGTTGCCAGCTCTATCTGGGTTAAAGAGAACACCACCTTCTAATGCTGTATACAAGTCAAAAGTAATCAATCATTCATTCAGAAAGTACATTTCGCACCATATACAGAAATAATGTGCACTGAAGGATAACAAAAAAAAATTGTTTTAAGAGCTCTTGGTCCTTCATACATCTTCTGAAAATGGCAGAATGTAGCTCTTGGTAATGGAGGAATCTGAAAGCATTTTCTTGCTTTCCCCATGAAAATCCTTGTATGTCTGTTAAACAAAACCCAAGCACTACTGTGGCTTAATAAGGTTATGAACACTGCATGAGATTCAGCCTTAAAACAGTAAGAAGTATACTGTAAAATAGCAGGAAGTTTGTCTTCTACAAAGTACGGTATGTCTATATGCTTTCACTCTTCCTTTGTCTGAACACATGGGAACCTGCTTTAAGATCCTTTTTCTAACTGGTTTACAACCCTAGTAACAAATAGTCAAACTCTCCACTTCAACAGCATATAAGGGACATAAGCTGTAGAGTTGTTGCAACTCCTCTGGCACTAAGTAGCGTTGCCTCTTAGCACAATTTTTTGCACCAAAGCCAGCAGTCATAATGAACAACAATTTTCTAATACTCCATTTCATCCCAAGTCACTGCTGCTTTGAACAAAATGAGGCCTTTGTGATTGCTCAAAAAAACCACAACTATCCTCTTTAGTGATTGCAGGTCATGCTGTGATGCTGGTTTTCCCGAGTTGGAAGACTGAAATTCTTAAAAATGACATATGACTGCTGAGTAATTTCTCTCCCCATGCCCCCATCCCAATATATTCAACCACCTGTATATTTAGACTTTATATTGTAAGTTTTTGTATCTTGTCTAATATGCTGCTCTTGAAATGTTAATTAAAATGAACTGTAAGCTGACTAAATGGATGCCAGTTGACTTAATGGAAGTGCAAGGTTCTTTCGAGAAGAATGATAGAAATACAGTGGTACCTCGGGTTACATACGCTTCAGGTTACATACACTTCAGGTTTCAGACTCTGCTAACCCAGAAATATTATCTCGGGTTAAGAACTTTGCTTCAGGATGAGAACAGAAATTGTGCAGCGGCGCAGCGGCAGCAGGGGGCCCCATTAGCTAAAGTGGTGCTTCAGGTTAAGAACAGTTTCAGATTAAGAACAGACCTCCAGAACGGATTAAGTTCTTAACCTGAGGTACCACTGTAGGCATGAAACGTCAGAACTGGTTGTGAAATGGGCTCCGAGGGTGGACTTGGGCCTTTCAAATTTCAACGATGCTCTGTGCAAGGCCAAACTTTGGTGCCTCTCTGCCTCTTGTCTTCCGTTCTGCTCAGTTCACTATGTCACAGTTGCGATGCTTACTGTATTCTTGTGAAACATGGGCCAATTATAAACACCATCTCCAACTCCTCAAAAGATTCCATCAACAGTGTCTCCGAAAATTTTTACATATCACTTGGGAAGACAGGCAAACTAATAGCAGTGTACTGGAAGAAGCAAAGATCACCAGTGTTGAAGCAATGATTCTTCAACATCAGCTTTGTTGGACTGGTCATGTTGTGCGGATGCCTGATTATCGTCTTCCAAAGCAACTACTCTATTCCAAACTTAAAAATGCAAAGCATACTGCTGGTGGTCACCAAAAAACGGTTTAAAGACTGTCTCAAGGCAAATTTTTAAAAATGTAGTATAAACACTGACAACTGGGAAACAGTGGACTGTGAGCGCTCCAATTGGAGAACAGCCTTTACCAAAGGTGTTGTGGGCTTTGAAGACACTCAAACTCAGGACGCAAGGGAGAAACGTGCTAAGAGGAAGGCACACTTGGCAAATCCACACCGTGATCAACTCCTGCCCAGAAACCTATGTCCCCACTGTGGAAGGACATGTGGATCCAGAATTGGCCTCCACAGTCACTTAGGGACCCATTGGTAAAACTGAGTTTATGGAAGACAATTTTACTCGGCCTCGAGGCATCGCCAAAGAAGAGTAAGAAGCCCTGCAGCAGCACCTAGGCTTGTCACTCAGTGTGGCAGAACCTGTCACACTGCCCTAATCTTCCTTTCTGGGTTATAAGACTATTGCATGGTTATAGATGTTTTTTAAAAAACCCCAGAAATAGTACAGTGGTACCTCGGGTTAAGTACTTAATTCGTTCTGGAGGTTCGTTCTTAACCTGAAACTGTTCGTAACCTGAAGCACCACTTTAGCTAATGGGGCCTCCTGCTGCTGCTGTGCCACTGGAGCACGATTTCTGTTCTCATCCTGAAGCAAAGTTCTTAACCTGAAGCACTATTTCTGGGTTAGCGGAGTCTGTAACCTGAAGCATATGCAACCTGAAGTGTATGTAACCCGAGGTACCACTGTACAAGAATGCCCATGCATGTGAATGCAGTAGATACAGTTCAAGTAAAACAAACTATTTGGTCCTCTTGCGTTTTAAGAACATATTCATATTCTCTCTATCTCTCTCTCCCCCCCCCCCCATTAAAATCAGTAGGGCTTAAAAGTCCTTAACTGTATATATAATTTTTTGAAAGAAATCTTACATGGAGGTTGCATTTAAAAGCAGTTACGGAACTAAAGATTAGAAAGGCACATACTGGCATTAAATAGAAGTTCACTGATTTTGTCCCATAGCTTTAAATTTTATTATTATTTATTAAATTTGTCGGTCACTTTATCTCATCCAGGGCAACCTGAAGTGACTTACAGTCAAAGAAACAGACAGTGAACCCCACATGGATACATTAAAACCAAGAGGATAAATGTTTTTAAAAGCATCCCACACCAAGCTTAAATATCTTTAACAAGGAAGGAAGGAACAAAGGAAGCTGGTTTATACCAAGTCAGACCACTGATCTCTCTAATTCTGTATTGTTTACACTGGCTAGCTGTGGTTCCTCAGAGTTCCAGGTAAGGGACATCCCCATCTCTACCTGGGATAGAACATCAGACCTTTTCAGTGCCAAAAGTCTCAGGCTCTTTGAGCTGCATCTCTTCTTCCAGCAATGATGAAAGCCTCTGTCCCGTGCCATCATCATATAGAATAACATAATATAGAAAAAATAAATTCCGTGTTTACTGCACAATGATCTGAGAACAGTTAAAAAGTTAGAGCTGCAAGAGTGTGACCCAGCTTGTTTCATTAATAACACATGTGACAAAGATCAGAGCATATCCAAATTGGAGAGATAAAAAGAAAAAATTTCCAGCATCGTAAAAAAACTATATTCGTATACCATGTAGTATTTTTAAAAAATGGAATAGAGACGCATCAGTTATTAAAACCAGTTTTACCATTGGCAGGAAACATAAAAAATCCCATCCCAATCAAATGCATCTGGGGGAGAGGGGGGACATAAAAATCAAGCATGGGAAAAAGACCCTCAAACGTAAGACTTCTCACGGAAAGATGGGCCTGATGAAATTATTTAAATGATGCACATTTCCTTTTGATATGGAACTAGCAGGGAACAGCTGATATTAGATACGATGAGAAGTTCTCCACCCGCAACACTGGGTGGAAGGAAACATTGATTTTAATTTAGCTTGCCACAAAGTGAAAATAAGGCTTTTAAAAAGCCCCCACACAACCCTGGGTTTACTTGAACATGCAATGGCCAGGATCCAAAGAACTCTACAAGGAGTTCCATGTGCCTAGGGGACTGTGGTTTTGTGTTTCTCAAAAACCAGCCTCCGTGTGTGTGTGTGTGTGTGTGTGTGTGTGTGTGTGTGTCAACAGTCCTACTGAGCATGCGTGTGATGGGTGTTGTCAGTAAGGTAAAAGGTAAAGGACCCCTGGATGGTTAAGTGGCTGATGGAGCCGGCGTACAGCTTCTGGGTCATGTGGCCAGCATGACTAAGCCGCTTCTGGCGAACCAGAGCAGCGCACGGAAGCGCCGTTTACCTTCCCGCCAGAGAGGTAACTATTTATCTACTTGCACTTTGACATGCTTTCGAACTGCCAGGTTGGCAGGAGCAGGGACCGAGCAACGGCAGCTCACCCCGTCATGGCGATTCGAACCGCTGACCTTCTGATTGGCAAGTCCTAGGCTCCGTGGTTTAACCCACAGCGCCACCCGCGTCCCTTAAAATATAGGATAGAAGACCCAAAAAATAGTTAAAGCAAAAATAAAACAATAACCCCCACCCCATCATCATATATGATGTTTGGACTAGCCTTCTGTAACCTTCTGTCCGCAATATGTTTTGGACTATAATTCCCATCACCCCTGACTTTTAGCAAGGACTGATGGAATTATCATAGAATCATAGAATTGTAGACTTGGAAGGGACTAAAAGGGTCATCTTTTGCCCAAGGTGGGGCTCAAACCATGAGATTAAGGGTCTCATGCTCTATCAACTGAGCTATCCCAAACATCTGGAGGGCACCAAGCTGGGAATGGCTGGTCTAGATCCTGGCTTTTAACGGGGGAAAAGCCTGCGAACCAGAATGATTTGGAAAGATTGTGTAAAGACTCATTTTAATCAGGAATTACTAAAAATGGGAATACTGTGGTACCTCGGGTTAAGTACTTAATTCGTTCCGGAGTTCTGTACTTAACCTGAATCTGTTCTTAACCTGAAGCACCACTTTAGCTAATGGGGCCTCCTGCTGCTGCTGCGCCGCCGCAGCACGATTTCTGTTCTCATCCTGAAGCAAAGTTCTTAACCTGAAGCACTATTTCTGGGTTAGCGGAGTCTGTAACCTGAAGCATATGTAACCTGAAGCATATGTAACCTGAAGCATATGTAACCCGAGGTACCACTGTATGTGAATTATTACTTATCATTATAAAAAATATTTTTAGGCAAGCTTTATAGGTAAAAAACATCTCAAGGCAGTTTAATTTTTTAAAAGTGTAAAATATATAAATAATAAAATTAGCTAATATAGTAGCATTACAATTCCATGTGCAAAATTCCACTGAACTTAAAACTGTTAACTGTTAGGCTTATTCTTTCTTAGCATCTCTGAAACCTCTGAAGATCTTTTGCCCGAACGGTTTTCTAAATTCATCTTTCCTTTTGCTTTTGGGGGACATTTGGTGGCAAACCCTGACTCAACCCACCCGTCCCTCAGTTTTTTACAACACCTTTCAAGCTCCAAGTGAGTAAATTTTGTAAAACGCAATTTGCTCAAGCTTATAAAGGATACCCCATCCTTCCTTTTTGTCTTCGCCATGCCTTGGTGGCCCACCAGCAAGGTTGTTCTAATCAACAGGGTTTTAAAGCAGATGTAAAGCTTTGATTTGTTTGCTCCTATATGAGTTCATCTTTCTTTCCCACAGTCTGCTGCCCATATTTTTTTTCAGCCAAGGTTGCTTGGCAGCAGAAGTATTGGCGTGTTGTTTTTTTTGTTACGTACTTTTTCTCTTTTCCCCCTTTCTCTCTTTTTTGCCACTCCATTTGCTGGGGCCATGTTGGCTTTCTCTGTTGTTAGAACACTCTGGGTCAAGTGTAGGCGTGTGCTTGCTTTACAAATAACATCCCCATCACTGCTAATGTCTGCCTCAGATGTTAAGTTGCTGGTGGCTTTGTCTGAGGGGGCAACTTCACGTTGTAATCTTGAATGCAAATCACTTTTTGTTGCTTTTGTTCCTTGAGAAAGGAGAGGCTGAAATGGAGCTCAAATAATTTATTTCAATGAATACATTAACCAGGCTTATCTATTGTGGCTGCTTGAGGACTGAAAATAATTAGCACAAAGCCACATTTCCTTCACAGGCCATGGAAAAGAGTCAGAGTCTTGCTGCAAACCCTGAATTCAGTTTCTGTAGAAAGAAAGGTTCGGGGGGGGGGGCGGGCAAGAGAGATTTAACATATTTCAAGGGCAACTAGAATTTCTGGTGGGAACATTTTCAAGCAGAATGAAAAACATTCCCTTGTGAAATATATTGCTATTTGAACTGGGAATTTCTTGGGCTTGTTGTAACACATCTCAGACTGTCCCATTAACGCAACTCCTTTTTCTTTTAAATAGGATAGTCAGGTATGGGCACCCTCTTTGTATCCTTGGAGATGTACAGCAAAAAAGTACTTTTGTCTTTAAAAGCATGAACTCAACAAGATAATTCAAAACCACTATCCAGAAGTTGTTTTAGCAGCTTTGCAGGGGTGCTGTAATAAATGATCCGAAACACCTGGGAGAGAAAGAATTGTAGCTAATGCGTTGCAGTATATTGATAATTATTTCATATACAGTGGTACCTCGGGTTACAGACGCTTCAGGTTACAGACGGTTCAGGCTACAGACTCCGCTAACCCAGAAATAGTACCTCAGGTTAAGAACTTTGCTTCAGGATGAGAACAGAAAACGCATGGCGGCTGCGTGGCAGCAGCAGGAGGCCCCATTAACTAAACTGGTACCTCAGGTTAAGAACAGTTTCAGGTTAAGAATGGACCTTCAGAACGAATTAAGTTCTTAACCCAAGGTACCACTCTGCCTGTTTTATATCTCTTTGTTTTACATGTGAAACCTTATTAGTATTATTATTTTTAGCATCTTTTGCAGTCCTGAATTCATCCAGAGCTTTGGCCCACTTGACCATCTCCCTACAAATGTTGACTATTCATGCATGAATTTCCCCTTTCTTTCATTTCTTATGCACACACCCTCTTTAAATCTCAGTTTATCTGTAATCTCCTTCTGCAGCCACACTGGTTTTTGTGGTTCCTTCCAACTCTTCTTTCTTGTTGGATTTGTCTGCATTTGTGCCTTCAAATATTTCACCATTAAGAAACTCCTATGCATCTTCGACTCCCTTTTCTTTGAGTATTTCTCACCATGGAATCTCATCCACTAGTTCCTTAAGCTTGAAACCAGCCTTCTTAAAGTCCAGAGGGTATCACCTACACTACCCTCAGCTTTCCCTTGCCTCTGTATCATGAAACCCAAGAGGACATGATCACTTTCTCCCAAACTTCCCAGTACTTCCTCTTTATTGATCAGTTCCTTCCTGTTGGTGAGGTCCAGGTCCCAAGAGAGATGATCCCTTTGTTGTTGTTTCTTCCACATTCCTGGAAATGAAATGTCAGTTAATTGTTAATTAACTGAGTTCCGTAGATTACATGAACTCAGTTTAACAGTCCATCCTCCACCCAACTATCTCAGACAAAGAGCCAGGATGTGACTCTTCCACTGGGTTTTAACAACACAGGGTGATAATAGAGTTCTGTACTCTGATGTTCATCCCACCATCTGGCAAATAAGGTATCTGGCCTTTTATGGATTCATTTAATCTATTTTTATTTAAATTTGAATCTTTGGTACGCTTCTGGTTCTTGCCATAGTGCACAGTGTATATGCAGAGTTCCCTTTTGCTTTAATCTTGCTGGGTGGTTAATTTTCACGAGATCGCTTTTAGCTCTCGTATTTCGTGAAAGTAAATAGTATTTCCCTCTTTCTCTTTTACGCATGACTTTATAACTTCAATCATATTCTCCTCTTTGAAAGGGACTCCTTTAAAAGCATCTAAACATAGGCTTGATGTGACTGCTTACAATTTTTGTCTCTTTTCAGCACCCCTTATATTTTTCTCGCCTTCCCCACTCCCTTTTTATATGAAAATAAACCCACCCTTGCTTGAAGCAACACAGCAGTGCTAATCAGCAAGTGTTTTTGGCAGCGAGCAGCAATGCGGACACATCTGGAAGGCCTAACAGGAAGTCATTCCTTGTCCAAGTAACTTTGCAGAGCAAGAGGCCTGGGATGCACTAACAGGGCATTTTTGTGATGGTACAGAAATGTTTGCTCTCTCAGTCAGTCGAGAGAAGTCAGGACCTTATCATAAGCAATTAGCACTCATTAAGTGTCATTTCACACTGAAACATTTTTAATTCCTCTCCTGCTGGGACTGCACCGTATCTTGAGCCAGTTAATCATAAACACAGATTCCTTGTGTTTAATTATAAGCATCGTGACTGCTGCCTATCCCTGGGCTCAATAAATTGAGCTCATGCTAATCTCTGGCTGCTGATAATTGAACCAAAGAAATCAGAAACGGGATATAAAGCAGCCAGAGATTTATGCCTCTTTTGAGGAGCTTCCGTGTTGAGGAGAACAGGAATAAAGACCTTGTGGACCTCCAGATGTTGTTGGACTACAACTCCCATGTGTCCAGCCGGCATATTCAGAGATGATGTGAGTTGTAGTCCAAAAACGTATCAAGTTAGCCACCCTAATTTGCAGCAGCAAAAAAAGAAAAAAGGTTCAGGGCACAGGTGGCATTTTTAAATTGAAAAATAGTCCACTTGACTATTTCAAGAAAATAATTTCTGCCCCTTATTTCTTATTTTAGGGCCCTCGTATTTACTGGACCGCCTCTCCTGGGATGCCCCACAGAGGACCTTAAGGTCCATGAATAATCATAGTTTAGCGGTCCTGGGCCCTAAGGAAGTCAGATTACCACCAGGGCCAGGGTCTTCTCAGTGATGGCTCCGACCTGGTGGAATGCTCTGTCCCAGGAGACTAGGGCCCTTCAGGATTTAACCTCCTTCCGCCGGGCCTGTAAGACAGAGCTATTCCGCCTGGCCTTTCAATTGAAATCAGCCTGATCTTTTATTTCCCTTCTCTCCCCTCCCCCTCCCCTTTTATGAAGATCACCCGCTCTGAGACCCCACAGCCAATTCTCCCCTGGCCTCCTCGCTGGCCCAAGGAGGACTAATTCAGCCAGCTTGTCCTGGTGAATATCTAATGCTTATTAGATGGATTTCCCCTAAATTGATTTCTGAACTTTGAATTTTATTGTTATTCATGTTTATATGCTGTATTTTATGCTGCTTCTATGTTGTATTACAATTAAGTGTTTTAAATTTGTTGTTAGCCACCCTGAGCCCATTTTCTGAACCAGGAAGGGCAGGGTATTATAAATAATAATAATAATAATAAATAATAATAATAATAATGCCTCTATCTTGAGTGGTGTACATCTGCATAGAGAGTAGCTTCACAAATAATACACTAAGCTGCAAACAGATTTGCATTTATTAAAAATATGTGAGTACCACTGAGCTTACAAGCATGTTCGCCTCTCATAATGAGTAGCTTTCCCCCTGGGTATGGCTCTTTGCTCTTTAGAACTCTCCACAGCTGCAAGCTTGTTGTGGCACTTTACCATTCCTTTTGAGATATTTTTTCAATTCCCACCTGATTCATGTTGTACTCAGTGTTGCTATGGCACAGTGAGTCTTATGTAATACAGTTGGGTGTGTACCTCACTGTTAACCACATAATGCAAAGTCCATGCACCTGTTTTTTCTAAAAAAAAATTCCCCATGCTCATAAAACCATATATGTCTTATACAACAGCAATAATATAATTTTTAACATTTAATTTTACAGCACAAGCGTTCAGTGCACTCAGAAGGGCTGGACACCTCCCTCTCCTTTTCACAGCCATGAACTCAAGGAATTCTCTCCAACATATTACAAAGTATAAAACTAAGGCTATTCTGTGCTGAGAGACCTCAAATTTTCCATCCACCCTTTTCGGTATTATTTTTTTTCTCCACCCCTCTCCTTTCCTCCTCAGCTGATTTCTCTCCAGCCATCTCAATGGAAGGCGCAGTAACTATGAAACACATCACTGCTCATTCTTCATGTGAAAAGATCGCATCCTTATACCCTAAAATGCCATATATCTGCCCATGAGTGGTGGACTGGTCCTGGTTTCCTAGTTAAGACAAAGTCATGTGGTATATAGACAGATGGGTTAAACCCATAGCTTTCCTAATAAAGTGTAAGCTTTCTGAATATTTCCAAGGTAGCTTTGCAGTCTACAAACCAACCAGGGAAGTATAAAAGCAGCAGTAAGAAGTATGAGACAAAAAACTTTCTTGGGCCAATTGCTGTAGCAGGAATATAAGCTGTCAAGCTACAAATTGCTGTTCTTTAAGTTCACCAGATGTGAGCTAACATTACTGTATACTATGCAGGCTGCTAGTAATACATGGTTTCCCCCTCATATATCCATTCAACCCTAGGTGGGCTTATCGGTGGTGAAGGGAAGTAGCGGTAATGCCACAAGTTGTGACAGGTGGCTCTCAGCCACTCATTGTTAACTACCCACAGAGCCCCAACCCAGCTGCCATCTAGATGTTGTTTGATTGCAACCCTCATTATCCCTGGCCATTGGCCATGCTGGTTGGGGCTGATGGAAATGTAGTCCAAAGCACAGGTGAGGCTGATCTGGGACATAGCATTATGATGGCTGGCATTTGCAGAGTTTGTATAAATACTAGCCATGACTATACAGGTTATAGTTTTGCTCAGGTCTTGTTCCCTTGGGGGGTGGGGATGGGTCACTGAGAGTGGGTCCACGATACCATTCATTTTAACTCTACGTTTAGGCAAGTCATGCAATATCTTAATCCATTTTATGAAATCAAAATTTATTTCAAGCTACCTCTCTATACTGTTTATGAATTGTGTCAAAAGGCTTTTCAGCATCTAATGATAACATTAGAAATTGGTCTTTATTTTTGCTTAAGTCCACCACTAATCATCATCTTCTTCTTCTTCTTCTTCTTCTTCTTCTTCTTCTTCTTGATTTTCCTGGTTTACAAAAGTATGTGCAATCTCTCTCTCTCTCTCTCTCTTTCTTGCTCTCTTTTTTACAGATCAGTTTCATTTGTTCAGACATTAGGAAGAAAAGGGGGAAAGAGGTGGAGGGGGGGAAAGGTGGGTGGGGGAGGGGTCCGGTGGCGATGTTTCTATTATACTTAATATATATGGGGTTTTGTGTCAGCATTGCTTGTGCAGCTTCTCTGCTATTCACTTGTGTTCCTTTGGTGGTGAGAGAGGTTGGGGTTGGCCAAGGGTGTGGTTGTTTGTTTGTGATTGGCTGTGGTGATCTTTGTTTTCATGAAATCCACCACTAATCTCATATAAACTCTTGCTTGCCTCGTTTTTATAAAACCAGTCTGGTCATTCTCAATAATGGACATTATCACTTGCTGGATTCTAATTGCTAAAGTCGTTGTTAAATTCTTTGTATCAACATAAATCAGTGATACAGGCCAATAATTTGCACACTGAGTGTGATCTTTATCTGGTTTGAGTGCAACTGTAATATAAGCTTGGTTGAATGTCATTCATAAATTACCTTTATCAAGCATCTCTTTGTAGAATTGGTGCTGATAAATCCAGTGCTTTTTTTCTGGGGAAAAGCAGGGGTACGCATACCCCTAAACATTTTATAAATCTTTGTACTTTTGTCCATTTACTGTATTTATTTCCCCTGATTTGAACTATAAAATGATAACTTTCTTGAGTCAAAATGAGAGTATCCCTAAACATTTTTTAATATATGCTTTTGTGTGTCACCTAGATATGTTGTTAATTTTGTTAAAGGAAAGCTCTATATTGTCTTAAGCTACATATTTTGGCTTAGCATATAATTCCAAAGAGAACTTGAAAAATTGATCATTTGAGATTTTATAGACTTCATCTTTTCCCACCCTAATAATTGGGATTGTTGCTTTTCCTTTCTTGTTATTTGGGGTTTATTACTCCTGTTGCACTATGCAATGTGTCCATGGTTGGCTGTATAAAAAAAGCTGATCAAATATTTCATTTTCTTATGCATCAGCATATTTCTTGTAGACAGTTCAGAAATTGCTATTCCTTTCTATGATGTTGCCAGCAAAGATAAAGCATTATTTTTCTAAACGATAGTATTTTATGTTTCTAGGTTGGTGGCGACCAAAGCCAAGGAGCCATCTTTCTGCGTGAGTTTACCTTGATTCGGAGAGAGAGTCTTAATGAAGATTTCCTTTCAGATTTGCTGAATACGAACCACAGAATTGAAGATACGGTAGGACCGGCCTATCTTTTAAATAATATGGTGCATGTGAAAAATGCCATTTAGCATTTAGAGCGTTATTCTAAATGGCAGGAGAGATATTAGGTCAGAGATTTTAGGAAGAGCAGGTATAATAGAGCCATGGTTGGAACTGTTGGTGGCAAACTCTCCTCCCGTAGCAGTGCTCTTCTGGCTCCTTCCTATCCCAGAACTCATAAGGCAGCGGTTCTCAACCTGTGGGTCCCCAGATGATGTTGGACTACAACTCCCATCATCCCTGAGCTCTAGCCCTGCTAGCTAGGGGTGATGGGAGTTGTAGTTCAACAACATCTGGGGACTCACAGGTTGAGAAAGGCTGTCATAAGGAAAGAGAAACTTGCACTGTAACAGGTATGAGGGAGAAGAGAGTCAGTTAGTTGAGAACTGTTCTACAGAGGTCAAGTATGACAAACTGGAGGGAGATCTACTGCAGCTCTGGCTGCTCTGCCAGGTTGCTCTGAATTCAAGAGAGAAGAGCTGAATGGTGAGCTGGAACCAGTAGCTCAGTCAGTATAGGCTGGGAGCAAACCAGAAGGAGCATCTCCCTCCCATAACCCTTCGGGAGTCTGGCTTTAAGTTGTGACTGTTAGACAAAACCAGTTCTGGAGCATAGCCTAGTTAAGTAACAAGACTGCATAGAAGCTGAAATTTACCTGCAACAATTGTTCTATAGCATGGGTAGGCAAACTAAGGCCCGGGGGCCGGATGCGGTCCAATTGCCTTCTCAGTCTGGCCCATGAACAGTCTGGGAATCAGCATGTTTTTACATGAGTAGAATGTGTGCTTTTATTTAAAATGCAACTCTGGATTATTTGTGGGGCATAGGAATTCGTTCATTATTATTTTTCCAAAATATATTCCGGCCCCCCACAAGGTCTGAGGGACAGTCGACCGGCCCCCTGCTGAAAACGTTGGCTGACCCCTGCTCTATAGTGTAGGCCAGACTTCACCAACTTACTGTCCTGTGCGTTTTGTTGCACTATAAATCCCAGTATCCCTGAACAATGACTATGCTGGCTGGGTCTGATAGGAGCTGGAGGACAACATCTGGAGGGCATCAGACAAGGCTGGTGAACTCTTACTGAATAGTCATTATTTTGATGGGACTTGCGTGAGCCTAGTTTTCTCTAGATTTTGCCTGCTTTGTGCTAATGCACTGAATTTATCTCAATGTTTCTGGTGTCGAAATCCTATCCCTGAAATTAAACAGAGGCATATATTTTTGGTTAGCATTTCTTCTTCTTTCCTCCTGTCTTTGCCTAAGTCCTGCAGACCAGAACTCCTCCTGCTGATTCAGTTTATCTTTTCATTTGTGGACAACAGTCCAAGCGATGGAGGTTATTGTGTATCATTTTGTGTTTGTTAAGATTGTGGTTCTTTTAGCATATACACTTTTCCAAGGTTCTGTGTTGTATTCAGAGAAGACTCTCTGATTGTATGTAGTTGTTTCATCTTGGTTATATAAATTTATTTTTTAGAAAGCAGATACAAAGATAATGCTTTGTGCTGCAATTCAGCTGCACTTGTGATTGTGGAGTGGATATGACTGGTGAGAACACGGTTGACTGGAACATTAGAGAGATGAGGATTGCTAAAATAAATAAATCTTGCTTAGGTCAAAGAACATACTTAACAAAGAGGATGGATGCATTAAGAGGATGGATGCAATAAACAATCCCCTGGTAATTCATCTGCTTTTCGGCAAACCATCTCTAGGATTCTCACAATCCCACCCAAAGAGTTCACACATCAGGCAAAATCAACACTTTGTTTTTGCCGTGTATAAATCTGTTGGTGAGACTCATAGTAGAATCAAGCAATGCTTTTCTGCCAAGACAAAAAGATTCTTTGTGAAGAGGATGCGATTAACCCTCACTGTGATTAATGATGTGTGGCTTGAATCTCTGTGCATCAAATGCAATGCTCCATAGACCAGCAGGCAACCTTTTGTTAGTTTTGTGTCTGTTTTGCTGGCTTGGCCTGTGGTTGTATTGAAATACATTGGTCTTGTGCCGGACTACAAGTATTTGTACACGGTTAACAAGCGATAGTACTGTGTTAATTATACAGAAAGTTCCAACCAGAAACTATTTCTTCTCAGTAAGTTCATTTTATCACTAAAAATAACATAAGCTAAAAAACCCCATTACTTTAACCCCCCCACACGCTGATAGCTATGCTACATCTTAAATTTTCATTGAGAAATTATATAGTTTTTTGATTGACAGATGCCAGAAAATCAAATCAGCTGAATGTGAATGAACAGAATATGAACAGGATATTTTAAAACTCTGTGGTCCAAAGGAAAGCAGAGCAATATGTTTGGCACCACCTTGGCTGCAGGAGTTGAAGAACAGAGGCGTTCAAGGTGCTATCCAACTGTCTTAGGGACCCTGCTCTGCATTTGTGTAGGGTTTACTCCTTCTCCTGAGGAAATCCCACAAGGCAGCAGAGGTTTAGGATCAGAGTTTTCATTCTCCTATATGGGCTAAATTACCAGGCTGATGATTTCCATCTGCCCCTCAATTCCCTTTACAACACATGCAGAAACTGCCTTCTTGACCATTGGACCCACTATGGATCTCATCCGATCAATCCACTGTAGCCTGTCTCCACATGCAGGGGAAGTCTATAACTCACCTTTTTTAGCTGGCCAGCCAAAGCCTTTCACAGGGTGTAGCCGCTGTTGCATGTTGGCAGCTTCTAGGAGCCACAGATGAGTGCTGAGTTCAGGGTCGGGACCAAAGGTCACCCCTCCAGGTACTACCCCTCCTCTACCACCCAATACACTACAATAGTGGTGTAAAGGTAAAGGGACCCCTGACCATTACGTCCAGTCGTGACCAACTCTGGGGTTGCTGCGCTCATCTCGCTACATTGGCCAAGGGAGCCAGCGTACAGCTTCTGGGTCATGTGGCCAGCATGACTAAGCCGCTTCTGGCAAACCAGAGCAGCGCACGGAAACGCCGTTTACCTTCCTGCTGGAGCGGTACCTATTTATCTACTTGCACTTTTGACGTGCTTTCGAACTGCTAGGTTGGCAGGAGCAGGGACCGAGCAACAGGAGCTCACCCTGTCGCGGGGATTTGAACTGGCGACCTTCTGATTGGCAAGTCCTAGGCTCTGTGGTTTAACCCACAGTGCCGCCCGTGTGTAGAACTATCTAAATAAATAGAGGTTGCTGATTCTATCACTCAAGGGTATCTCCTGGTTCACACTTCTCTCCTTCGTTATTGAAGACTGGCATAAAAATATCTGGGAACTTTATCAGCTCAGAATGTGGAGAGATCATGTCTGAATGATTTCTCACTTTAAGTGGAGAACTAGAATTTCAGGCAGATGCCTGGCCTAGATCCCTCATGGTTTTCATGGTCAGGAGATTTTTGATGTGGGAAAATATTTCCTCCTAGACTACTCTTCCCTGCATCCTGAATCTGATACTTTATTGGAAGGTTTAGCACTGTGTATTCAGATTACCTCTTAGATCACAGGTTCCCAGTGTGTGGTCCATGTTCGCCTCTAGACAGTTCCAACCTTATTGCAGGCATCATGATATATCGGTAAATCGTAGTGTTTAGCTGATGATATATTGCAGTGTTTAAAACCATATCAATGGCCCAGCCCTGTCAATGGGCTATCGGTGGTTTGGAGCTTTATTCTGATCTCCTGCAGCAGTGACTTTAGCATCTAGCACAGCTCATTAAATTGGTGAACAACAGACAGAAAAATGGTCTGCCTAGATACTCTGCAGTTATCTATTTGTCTGGGGTGGTGGTGGAATTTGGGAACCACAGTCTTAGATTATAGCACAGTAGCATAAGGCTAAAAGGCCAGACTTTATGGCTTCATGACAAGAGTATTGTTACATTGTTATCTGCAGGATAATCAGATAATTAAAACAAAATTTTATTTAAAGTAACAATGCATCAATTAGAAATTAAAGATTTATTCAAAATAATAAAAAGCTAGCTGTGATTTTTTCCCAGAGAACCAGTTGCAAAAACTTAGTAGTTGTTCCTAGTTATCAGTCTAATGCAGCAGTTCTCAACCTGTGGGTCCCCAAATGTTGTTGGACTACAACTCCCATCATCCCTGAGCTCTGGCCTTGCTAGCTAGGCATGATGGGAGTTGTAATTCAACAACATCTGGCGACCCACAGGTTGAGAAAGGCTGGTCTAATGTGTATTCATCACCATCACTGACAACCCAAGCAGTATTTGGGCGGCCTGGGAATCAAGTCCCCAAATTCTGTTGTTCTGGAGTCTTAAGGATGGATCTGTGAGTTACGGTCCTGTAGCCCCATAGGCCCCTATTATGCAAACACTGCACAAACATGATACAAAAATAGCAGTACAGCGCTTCCAGCTTTAACCTCAGAAATGTGATGTTTGTGCCGGCCAGGGGAAGAATTCTGCCTTTGCCCCCAAATCTTTATCATATTCCATCTTTTGCTAAACTCATAACTAAAAATGAACTAGAGAATGCAGTCCAGCAATGGATCCCATGTTTCCTCCAGGGTACCCCTATTTACCGTTGCATACCCTCAGTTTTGAACATTCACTAGAAACATAGAATTAAAAAATAAAAAGCAACGGTTATATGTAAAATAACAATGTATTGACTCTCAAGGATTTAATGTTTCCTTAGTGGTTTTCAAAATGGACTTTTAGGAATATTACACGCTTTTTTAATTGGTTTGTTTACTTCTTAAACTTATGATTGGACATCAGTTGCTTAGATGTTAGCAGAAGCATGTTTAACCCTTTGCTGACAGGTTGGGTCAAGCACAAGGGCGATGCAATGGAATATGAATGTTGCAGTGAAGGCATGATGTTTTCATATTCTTGCAAGTGATGTGATGCTTAATCAAATCTGCCAAATATTTTACTTGTATGCCCTTCTTGACCCAAACACTGGATTTGTAAAAGCAGTTTCTCTGTCGGTGTAGGGTTAAAGATCTTGTTTGTACTAACAGAAGAAGTAATCAATGCATTTATTTACAAAATGTTATGTATAATAAACATATACTGTTCTTGTTTTGATACCATTGATAATGACTGAAACAGCAGTGGTCGGGCACTTGTCCATTTGGTATTTTTGTCTTAGATTTGGAATTCTGTGTGTAATATATGTGTGTCTAATATATAATAAACTAAGTATTTTGAATAGCGTGTATAAACGAATTGCATTAGTTTTACAAATGTTTAGTATACTAGTACTGTTTATTAGGATCATTTATTTATAAACTATTTATATACTGCCATATCATGAAACATCAGATGGTCGTAAAACAGCAAAACATAAAACACTATTAAAAACAGTTTGGCTTACCTATCACATCATGGTTATTTTCTCCATTCATGGATAGAATAACCACTGTAATTTGAGCTGGAAATTGCAGGAGTGTGGATGCAACAATGGCTTTGTTCCAGATTTGTTTCCCAATAGGAATCACCTCCTTTATTTGTATCTTTTTAAAAAACAAGCTTAGCTCTTTTTAGCTGCACTGCACTGAAATACAATATTTACATTTCTCTAAGTGGTCCCACAGTTCAAAGAAGAATTCCTGCTGCTGTTGCTGGAGCCTCAAGTGCTCATTATAAACAAAACTCTGAACTGAGGAAAGCAACAGTTGTTTGCAGGTAAAAAGACAAGGTCTGTTACTTGGTCTTGAAGGAGGAAGAGTATATATTTTGCAACAAAAGAAGGGCCAGGGAACCTGGGAAAGAGTTCCAAGGTAAGTGCTACATCAGCAACCACCTGGCTTAGACTGAGCTTCCATAGGAGATGGAGACTCCTCTTCCTGGCTCTCAGAAAGACCCTGGTCTGGGCAGGATGTCACATGGATTTCTTCTTCCAAGTATTATTATGTAAACAATAGCCTTGAGGAGCTAGCTGTTAGCAGCTTGGGTGAATTAGACTGGAATAATCATAGCTTCTGGAGTTTGAAGGGCTTATTCATGCAAGAACATCTTACAGGATTGGTGGAGATAGGAGAGAAATAGCACACACATTGTTTGGAGAAAACAGCAAACAAAAACATGGCTCAGCCTTTAGGCATGGAGTTAACTTAGAGAACTACGAATAAAAGCAGTCTAGATTGCTATACAAACAGTGCCTTCTGTTTAAAACAGAAGTGGTTTAAAACAGCACATGCATTGACTAGAATATTTAGAGAAGAAAATGTTTTTGCTTTCCTCCAACAGTAGCTAGGTAGTCTATTGGCAACCCTGATGTTCCTGCTTGACTTGCCATAACCTCATTCCCTCTGGTCCTTAAGCCCTTGGGTTATTTGAGTGAATCTGGTATCCATTTTGGAGTTTTCAGTGCTGCAGCTGGAATGGTGGGGAATGGTGCATTTCTGCAAGAATGGTGTGTTTCTTGGGTTTGGTGGCTGTGCTGTTTGTTGGCAGGTCCTGCTTCTCCTGGTTCTTTGAGGAAATCTCACATTCAGGGGTCTGAGCATGGCTGGACTAAGGGAGCTTTACAGTTTTAGTTTACTATGGATAATGAAAAATGGGGTAGAATTCTAGCATACATATTTGCACAGTATCAAACAGGTTCCCACTCATTCGGTCAATGAAAAGGTACACAGTAGCAATTAAGACCACATTTATGTTACTTTTGTTATTTATCTGTATAAGCATGGACTTGCATATATACAGAGCCAAACTTCTAGGAAAACATCCTAGATATTTTATTTGGGGGGAGGGGTGGTCTAAAATGAAAATAGTAGGAAGTGACCAAAGAAGAATGGTATACAGCTAAGTTACCTATCTGTGAGACCTGGGGCAGTATCTGGGCAAAAATGAAGCAGCCCATTATTTTGTCAGTTACTGCTTACAAGTTCTATGGTGAGAAAAGCCACCTAAAGTGTATAGGAGAAAGCAAGGAAAGGTGAATGGGAACTGGAGAGGAAGTTCATTACGTGTTCTCCATATTTGTCTAAGTTAGTCCTCTGGCAAAGAGAACCAGGTTGTAGCTACATGTCTATAAAGTTGAGGTCTGCTCAAGGTAAGGAAGCTCATTGAGAAAACAAGATGAAAAGGATTAGGTCCAAGTGCCATTGATAGTACCATTCAGAGAAGGAAGATCCTCTAGCTTTCTTGATTCCTGGAATGGCTAAGAGAAATATGCTTTTGCTTGTGGAACAAAAAAGTAACGTCCGGCCAACATTACCTCTCTGACTATGCCTGCTCTAGCATTTTCTGATATCTTATGTCATGCATAGGCAAACTCAGCCCTCCAGATTTTTTGGGACTACTGATCCGTGACCACTGGTCCTGTTAGCTAGGTATGATGGGAGTTGTAGTCCCAAAACATCTGGAGGGCCAAGTTTGCTTATGCCTTTCTTATGTTAACGTATGGTTTCTAGGCCCAGAGATTGTGCCTATACCACTGAATGCTCTGAGACTCGGCTTCTTTGTTATTTTCTATGCCAGTCCTGTTGCTCACTTTTCTCTCTACCTCAACAAACATGTGTCTCATTCTCATTTAGAGCTCTTTTGGCCAAAGCAAATGGAGAAGGGTGGACTTCTCCATCAGGAAAGGAAAAGGGTAGGGAATCCATTCGTTGTATCCTCTTAGTGCCTGGGAGCACAGCCTCCGGAGAAGATGTTCTGTTGACCTTGCCATCGGATTTAAGCACAGGACTCTGCTTCTTTAAAACTCTCATTCTTTAAAACAGCCCATGAACCAAACACTCAGGAGAAAGAAGGTTCAAAGATGTCCCTGGACCAGAATCCCAACATTTCACAATGGTATTTAAGCTGCTAGCTTTTAAAACTGGTCATGCTCGATGTTTTCACAGAGATTCAGATGTATTGAAAATAATGGCCCACGGAGAGTTTTAGATGGTTTCTTATTAGCAAAGAGCACTCACTACTGGAAGAGATGTGCCATTGCATTTAATTAGATGAGCTTGTACAGATATTCAAAGCATATGCTACTAGAGTCAATGTTATAATGATTTTATGCAACACATCCTTCC